TAAAGTCAGACATTACCATTTAACTGTAGCAATACTTATGCAAACATGGAGGTTTTTAGCTTTAAACATAAAACGTCTCATAACTGACTTCGTTATCTTTCAAGGTTTCTCACGTTATGATATTGAACTCATTTGGAAACAGTCAGGTATAACATTACCTTTTGAAGAAATCTGGGAAGCATATAAGTCTCTCATCTCTCCTCGTTCATACCTTGAGATTCATATCATGACTAATACCATTAAAGTCAAAAATATTCCATGGGAACGACCAACATTGTTTTAAAGTTTAACCTTCAATTGACTGATGGTAAACAAATTCCATGCATCTCTGTCGCCATTTCTGTTAATATTTTTGCTGTCATTCATATCATCCACTTCCCCATCCGTTAGCTTTTGAGGATATGCGTTAGAATAGCTGTTCTTAAATGAAGGCTTCTCTTCCTTGAGAGCATAAACTCTATAACTTTCTGCATACTTTATGTTTGAACCTCCTGAGCCATCATTGACATAAATTTTTATAGGCTTCCACCCTTTGTTCATATTCCTGCTTCTTCCCTTAGCTCTTTTGTTCAGTAGTTCTACATCTTTATACACAGCACCTGTCTCAGTGAATTCAACAATATTTTCATTCGTTAGCTTTGCATTCAAACCCTTGTCGAGTATATTGTTCATTTCATACATATAAAAGGTTTTTATTCTATATGAAATGAGAAGCAAATCCATCTTAGCTGGTGCCGTTAATGTTCCAATTGAACCAACATCAAATGTTGACTCACGAACGACAAACAATATTGTCATAAAGAACTATAGTTCGGAGTGTTTGAAAGAACCAGAACCAGAACTTAAGTCGGGACCTTCGGTCTTGGCGCATGGCGCCGTGAATTTAAACACAGCTTCAAACGCTAACGCTACATCAGATGTTAAGTTAGAGTATCCACCACTGGACCAAATTCTTTCAAGAGAAGTCAACGACAATCCTTACACAAATGTTCAAACAAATCCTTCAGATAACGTAGACCATTACCTTCTTCAGTTATACCAAACAATTTTACTCAAAGACGATAAGAAGCTTTTGACAAATCTTATAAGTAAGAACCAAATAATTCTAACAAAGGAGGACCTTGAAAATGTTATATCACGAATAACAGGAAAGCAATGTGTCATTGACTATCTCGACCCTGAAATCGAATGCTGTGGTCAAACGCCACCATTCATGAAAATAGGTAACATCCGCATCATTGAAACACCAGGAACTACAGGAGTTGAGTTTAAGTATAAATATTCGAACGAGTATACAAAACTATCTACTGACTATAAGCTTTGTTTGAAATATGTTTTAGTAAATTAAAGCAGTCAGGACCTTCGGTCTTGGCGCTTTGTGCCGTCAGTCAAAAAAAATTTCAAGTTAGCAATTTGTAATATCTATCCAAAACTTCTTCAACAGTATCGAACTCATCTTCATAATGCAAACCTAATCTTATTGACTTGGTGCAGTTTTCACTAACACAATATTTTTCTGTTCTCTTGACTGACATAACTAACTCATTTGTTTCATCAAACAGCAACAACCAAAGTTCATGACCTAATACATAACATTCATACTTTATATTTTTAGCTCTGAGTTCTCTTGTAAGCTGTTGCATTTAATATTTTCTAAAAAGTCAACTTCAACAGTCATTCGCACTGGTGCCTTCAGTTCTACAGGCTCTCCTTGAAAGTCAACAAGTCTGAATTGCATGTCTTTCAAATTATGAGGACTAATGCGAACCCATTTACCTAAATGAGTTGCTATGACAGGAATGTTTGGAATGAACATTGAATTGACTGCATAACAGAAGGATTTATATTCTACTGAACCTTTACTATTAACTCCTGAAATGCCTGTGACATTAGCTATTTTTGACTCAATGTACAAACAGTTGCCATAACATACGTATGGAACAGATTTCATCTCAATCGTTTTGTCAACACTTTTCAAAGGAAATGTCATATGGTATGCACCCAAAAGAAGTTGTACTCTATGACTCATTCGTGTTATCTTAAACTCCTTCGCATAACTGAACTTCAATGTTCCCTCAGAAGAGAGTTCGACATCTATGTTGTCAATAGTTTCTTCATTTATGAGAGCATTTAACACCCCAGCAATTTTATCTATTCTATACTCTGCTCTGTTAGGAAATGTTATAACACTTCTTTTGTCATCTATTTCAATCTCTATGAAATCTGTTTCATCTGTTATGACAAAAGTTGCGATAGTATTGAAGTCAACAACTCTGAAAGCAAGCGCTTCATTCTGAAGACCTAAGTTTGTTTGTAGCTTTACTATTCCGTATTTGTTTGGGTCTGTACTTTGCAAATAGAACAACATTTTATTCTCATTAAAATATGACTATTGCTGCATATGCGTATGAAACAAATGAAGCAAGAATAGAGATGTGAAAACTTAAATTTTATAATCCCTGGGATGCACTTTCTTCGATTTTTTTTAAATTTTTGGGATAAATTTTGACATCTTTTTTTTTGCTGGCGACCCCCCGTTTAGGGCATCAAAAAAACATGTTGTTTCGTTTCAAGATCGGGATATGTTGTGAACCCGACTTCTTTCATTAATGAAGTGATTTCTTAAGTTGAATAAAAACAAATTTGATTGAAATTCATACAAAATTTCTTTTTATCATTATTATTTAAGATGCTTTTTTATGTTGAATTGTTAATTTTTTTATTTCCACCTGGGATATTTTGAATTGGGCTAGCCCAATCCCACCTCTCAATTTTCTCTCAATTGGGCAATGGGGATCCCATATAAAATGTATTGTAACAAAATTTTACATGCATAATATAGTACAATTAAACAACATTCTAAAAATATTAAATTCACATCATTTACTTGAAGATTTTATATTTTCAACAAAAATTAATACAATAATTACATTAAATTGAGGAGATTTATAATATTTATTATAAATTAAAATATTATTACTCATTAATTTGTTGAAATATTGCATTTTAGTGGTAAAAATTAAAATTTAAGTTTACATGGAGAAAAAAAAATTTTAAATTCCAAAAAAAATTCAATTGGGATAACGATAGGGACAAAAATTTAGAATCCCCATATGCTTGGGATAAAATCACATGACTAGCAAGAAGAGCACATGAACTAGTAAACGAAAACTCAACTTTAACCATTGAAGGCAATGATTTAGTCATTGACGATGGAAAAACTAAAAAAGTCATTGATTTCGATACTTTTAACACTTATGACCCATTCATTACAACAAGCAAGGTTCCCATCATAAATGATGGAACGGTGCAATATATAAATTCTACAGTAGATGCCTCATTAGTGAAAGTATTAAATGTTCTCATTGAATTGTTAAAGAGCTTTCGATTTGACGACAACATTAAATGCCTAAAGAATTTAGTCATGAATGAAAAACAAATTCTCGGCGTTGCTGGTAGCAGTAATGATGTACACCTTATGACATTAGAATATTATAACGAACATAAAGATGAACTGAAAGGAGAGAAGGGTGACACCGGACCTCAAGGACCACAAGGAATACAAGAATACAAGGAATACAAGGACCTCAAAGCGAAAACGGTTTGGATGGTGAAGATGGAAAGGATGGAAAAACTGCTAAATCATGGATATGGAACCTTATAAATACTGGTTTAACAGCTGGTTCATATGGAGTTCTTCAATACCAAATCGGAAAGATATGGGCAGTACTTGGTGAAGAAGTTTTAGATGACGTTAAAAATGCTTTGAACTTCATTTCAAATGGTTCGGATACTATTAAAACTTTATCTGGTTGGATGCAAGAAACAAGGAGTCAAATAGATACTGTAAGACGTATAGCAAACAATGCACGTACGGGATTGGATACTTTACGAGAAGCACAAAATACACTAAAGGAAGCAAATGATATTCTTGGCTCAGTATCAGACATGCATGAAGATTGGCTTAAAGGTATTGACAAATCTTTAAAAATCACAGTCAGTCTATTGCTGACTACAAGAAAAGTATAGATTTTTTACATAGTGCTATGGACGTACATGATGGAAGCATAAGGAACTTACTTAATGCTAACAATAACTTACCAGGAACTATTAAAGCATTTATAAAGTCCTTTGTAAAACCTGGTGCTCTAACATTTAGGTCTTTGAGAGCAAGAGCATTGAAGTCAAGAGATGCAGAAACTCCAACAGAACCTACAGAAGGAACTGAAACAACAGAAACTCCAGAAGAACCACCAAAACCAACAGCTAATGAAATATTGTTCGAATATTTTCCAAGGTACTCTGTTCTCATTGCATACATTCAAGAAATACTTAAGAAAGCAGACTTGACTTTAGGAGATGATGAAAGTTCTGTATATCTTTCGTTCCAGTTTCAAATAGCAGAACTTTTGAGACAGATATGCTTAATGTATGACAACATCTCTGATTTCACAAGATATGATGACGACCATGACCCCGAACACGGTGAAGAAGAAGTTTTACAAACATCCATTAAGACAGGAAAGGTTTTAACTCAAAGTCTCATTATTGACACCAAAGATGGCGAAGTGGACGTTCTTCAAGAGCTGAAGAAAAATACTTCTTCGGGAGGTGGTGGTAGGCATGAACTTGAAATAAATGAGATAGAAGAGAAATTAGCCGAAAAAGCAGATAAAAACCATGTTCATTATATAAGTTCAGACGAACAGATTATAACGGACTACCATGGATATTTAACACAGGATGAACAAATAAGCACTGAAGATGTTAATGAAAGAAGATATAAATTCATTCGTGCTAAAGGTTATGACATACACTGTACTGTACAGTATGACACAGGTAAAGCACAAGAAGCATTTGGTTATAACGATGAAATATATGCTTCGTATTTCTTTGTTAACGGTGTATTAGTTGAACCAAGATTTACTTTGAGAGTTAAGGCAAAAATAACTTTTGAAGATGCTATTAAAAGTAAAGCCAGCAAAGATGAACTTGAAGCAATGAACAAAGTTTTGAAATCTCATAAACACAATATCTCCGATATAAATGAACTTCAAGCTACATTAAATAGTAAAGCTGACAAGAACCATACACATGAATCCTTCACTACTGTTAGAGCAGACGACATAATATTGAACTATACCCTTGGTTCAAGTGCACCTTTAGAGAATCCAAGTACAAGCGTAAAAGATACACTAAACTCCTTAAATAGTAAATGTATGAACATTGAAGGTCATGTCAGAAACTTTGAAACACATGAACTACCAGCAATGTTAGATAAGAAAGCTGACAAAGAACATACACATAACTCCTTCTCAACTGTTGCTATAGAAAGTATTGAAGGAACGGTTGGCGGAACTGGTGGGGATGCATTATATTATAAACCTCCTAACTTTCCACAAGGTTTAACATCGAATGAAAACATAACAACGAAGAAAGAAATTAGCTGTAAAGATGTTTATGTCATGGATGATGAAAATAATGTTAAATTCACTGCTCAAGATTTATATGATAAGAAAGCAGACAAAACAGAGCTTCAAACATTAAAGACTGAAATACTTCAAACATTATATCCTATAGGCTCTATTTATACGTCAATGAACTCAACAAATCCAGCAAGTGTTTTAGGTTTTGGTACATGGAAGCAGATTGTAGACAAATTCTTATACTGTGCTAGATATTCAAAGCAAACAGGAGGTTCGAAGAAAATTAAAGAAGCAAACCTTCCACCGCACACTCATACAGGAACGACAAACTTTTCTGGCGACCATAGCCACTCATTAAGAGACCACCCATTATACAACTCAGAGTATGAAGCTGGCCATGACGTTTTATCTCCATCTTATAACAATTCAGCAAAAAAGATTTTTCGACAAACTGAACCAGGAGGAAATCATTCACACACTTTCACAACAAATCCAACAGGCTCGGGTGCAGATTATATGCCACCATTTGTGACTATATTCGCATGGTACCGCGTTCAATGAACGCGCTTGAGCCTAGAATAAAATCTTTAACTTTACATAAATGAGCTTGAAAGAAGTATTCGAACAACATCCATGGAGGTCATTTAAGAAGTTCAATGAAGCTGCAAAGAGTTGGGGATTTACTAACAGAGCTGAAGTGAAAAGGTTCTTTGACAAAAATGTTGTACATCAAACAAAAATAAACCCTTACGACTACTTTTTACCAATTTACTCCAACACTCCTGACGCATACCAATTTGACACTCTCATTCAAAGCAGAAAAGGAGGACATAAACCATTCCTCATCTTCATTAATGTTAACACTCGCAAAGCATATGCATATCCAATGAGGAATAAAGGAACTCGTGAAGTGTTAAGAGTTTTACAAAAGTTTGTAGCAGAACATAGCCCAAGTACTTTAACATCAGACCAAGACAGTGCATACCTCAGCAATGAAATCACAGATTTTCTCATTAAGCATAACATAACTCACTACACTACTGAAGACCATAACCATAACATACTCGGCATCATAAACCGCTTCATAAGAACGCTCAGAGATTTAAACCAAGAGCGAGACTTTACCGAAGAAACAATGAAACACTTTCTCGAAGTATATAATTCCTCAACACATTCTACAACAGGACATACACCAAATTCAATGACACAACAAGAAGAAGAAAAGTATATACAAAAGAAACGAAGCCAAACACAAAATATCAGAAATTCAACACAATTTACCCTCATTCCTGGTACAAAAGTTCGTGTAGTTCTTGACGACAAACCGTTGACAAAGAAACGTTTAAGGTTAAGTAGAAACTATTATATCGTAGACTCTACGCAAGGTAATGGATATCTTATAAAAGCTGCCGACGACTCTATTGCGTTTTACCCTCGTCACAAATTAGTTGAAAGTAGTAATGGCAAACTTGCTGAAACCATTGACGAAGCAAAGCGAGGAGTGGTTATTGAAATACTTGGCTACAACATAAACGATGACACTTATAAAGTAAGATATGAAGGAGGTGTTGAAGATGTTATACCATCTAAGAACTTGAGAGAGTCAAAGCCAACACATCTGGGACCATTAGAGCGGGAGTACTGGAAAGACAAAAATATGCCAGAAAGAATAAGAAAATTCTTCTAAACTTTTTCATTAGATGTAAATCAGACATGAATGAGAACAGTCATGATATCATTAATGGTACCATTTATTTTTGTCATAAAGACGCAAAGCGGCGAGGACGAAGTCCATGACCAAAAATATAATTGAGGTGAAGAGGTGAGATCTCACCCGTTTTTTCACCTGTTTTTTCACCCTCACCGCTTAGCGGCTCAGACCCTTTGGGTCTCGTGAATTTTCATGAATTTCCTTAAGATAGAAAAAATAAAGTTAGTTTTATTTTTATTTATTTTTTTATTTTGTATAAAAGATATGATTTCAACAATCGGCACAACAACAATTCAAACAACAGCACCAAACTCGTTAGTCATGAATCCAACATCTATGTTAGTAGAAATGAAAAGCTTCATTCCTTCTTCATATACTTTTGAAACAGAAATCCAGAAGATAAAGCAAGAACTTTTAACAAGTAATTTAGACTGTAGTGCGAAAGATGAAACAAATGAACAGTATCTTTATGAAATGGAGGACCTCATCGACCATTTGCCTAAACTACCTGAAATTCAGCAGCAAAAACTAACTATTCCTGAATTCGACGAAATTGAAGTCAAAGCAACTGACTCAGTAGAAATTAAGAAATTCATACGTAAAGTAAATTATGAATTCCTTGGTTTTCATTGCAACCATATAGTTATGGACAAAGATTGCGACATGGTATATAAGAACATCTCTGACATATATAAATCTGGGGCGTTTAAGACATACGACAACTTTGTTTCATTAGTTGCAAAATGTGTATGGCAGATAAGAGATAAAGATAGAAGAGGTAAGGTATGGAATGAACAGATAAAACCAACTGCTTCAGATTTAAAGAAAACCATTGACGCCTTAGTTGTTCTAGCTGGTTTTATTTCAATGTATAACGCAAAAACGATGCCGCAATGTTCAAAATGTAAAGCAGCAATAAGAAAATATAACTACTCAGTCAAAGAGATAGAAAGAATGCGAAACGACTATGCAGACTTAAAGAAAGAAGCAGAAAAGCCAGCAGAAGATAAAATGGATATGTTGACATTTCTTAATAAAAACTATCCAACAGCAGAAGATTTCCTTCTGTCTGACGTCAAGAAGAAATATAAAGAAACCTTCGGCATTGTTAAAACTTTTGATATCCTCAGCGAAGAAATAGAAGCTACAAAACTGTTTAGGATTTCAAATATACATCGTACAATTCATGTAAAACGCTTGTGAAAAAAGAGGTGAAAAAACAGGTGAGATCTCACCTCTTCACCTCAATTATATTTTTATTGAATTCAGCAACAAAATTCTGAGTAAAATAATTTTTAGGGCATGTGTCAAACCGTTGAGTTTTCACAAAATTTAAAAAATAACGTTTACCATGTGAAACGTTTGTGAAAAAAGAGGTGAAAAATGAGGTGAAAAAAGAGGTGAAATCTCACCTCTTCACCTAAACATTATTTTTATTGAATTCAGCACAAAATCATGAATTTTCTTAAGATAGAAAAAATAAAGTTAGTTTTATTTTTATTTATTTTTTTATTTTGTATGTAAGAACAGAAATGTCAACATCAGAGAACACAACAATTGCTATCGTTCATGAAGCCATAAATGAAGAATACGAGTACATACAGTATAACAAACAGTTACGTCTCATTCGTTCAGTCAAAGATGACATGTACCAAATGCAAAGTATAATGAATGCTCTTCGTTCTACAAAGCAAGCATATCATTGGTTTGAAAACCAACAGACAAAAGAACTTTTAGAAGAATTTCCTCATATGATTGCTTCCCTCGGAAAACCGGGGGAAGAGATTCCGTATGAAAATCGCAAGAATTTGGCTCCTGGTTTGAAAGGTTATTATGTTCATAGACTTTTAGTAAATGCTGTAGCAATGTGGGCTTCACCTCGTTATGCTTGTTATATTTTCATGATGTTAGATGAACTATATAAAGCAGAACGTGGAGAGATGGAAAAGAAACTTCATGCAACAGATGAAGTCATTGAATCCAAAGACAAAAGCATTCAGAAAAGAATACCACGTTCGGTACCAAAAGGAAAGGAAAAGAGTTATAAGTATATGATTTATACTGAAGAGTTGGAGAAAGAAGAAGATAAAGATATGGTTATGTTGCATTTAGTCAGAAGAAACAACAAGAGCTTTTATGACTTAGCTAAAATATATAAATCTGACAGAAACTGGTTCTATCGTGAAAACTTACCGATTTCAATGACACCGAATGAGCAAATAAAGGAAATTGTCAAAAATACTCTTCCTCAAACACACTATGATATGAAAGGTTGTACAATACTTACATTCAAAGAAGACTTAACATTACTGAAGGAAAAAATAACAGAATATTTCGATAACTTCAAAGAGGAAGAATAAAAAAATCTAAGCTAATTTTATTTTTTTTATAAAATTTTATCTCATATGAAAGAACATGAATTTAGAATATTCGGAACTCATGACAGAAGAAGAGAACGAACAACATGTAAAAGATTATGCAAAATTTCTGAAGACATACAAAGCATTTAAACAATATCTAAATGCTTCTAAAGATTATGCAAAATTTCTGAAGGTATATAAAGCTTATGAAAAAGCGTATGAAAAGTTTATACATTGGGGAATTGTTGTAAAATATCGATATGAAGACTAACCAAAAATATATTTTTGCTTAAATAGCTTCAGGGTCTATTTCTTCAACCATTTCACTTCCTTCGTCAATGTCAATAGAAGCTTCTTCAACCTTTGGTAAGAATTTCTGTATAACATCTTTGTTCGTTATTGTTTTCAGAGATGAAGGATAATATTTCACATTTGTTTCACCCTTCTTATATTCTTTCTGTTCGGAAAGATTTAAAGCAATACTGAAGAAGTCAATGTTAGAGTTCTTTATAACAGTATAATGAGTATCTTTGACATTCACGAAGAAACTCTTTTGTTTCAAAACTACTGCTAACTCTTGTGAAGTATAACGTTTGCGGTCAATGACGATAGCTAATGGTCTGACATACTGACCAAACTTAGATTCTTTCACAAACTTCTTGTTAAAGATAACATTAACATTTGAAGCATTATTGAACTCATTCTTGATGGCAGTAGCGAGAGCATTGTATGAAAAGAACTTGCAATCTTGCATGTGTTTCATTAAAATAAAAATATTAAATTATTTTGAAAAATAACTTTAAAAAATCTAATCTAATTTTTTCAAAAAATATTTTTTTTATTTCCTACTAAAGATGTATCGGAAGTTGTCTAAGTTAGAACACTCGGAAATAAAACAACTTCTTACAGAAGCTAACATAGAAGTAGCAAAACATTACGCAACAAACAAAAAAGCACTCGCTGACTTCATTAAAGACTATAATGGTGCAATAAGTTATGATAGAATTCATGAGTTCATAAAGCCGCAACGCGGCGAGGACGAAGTCCATGCAAGAGCATTTCCTTTAAATGACGTTGCTATTGACTTATATCATAGACGTTCAGTACCTCATGAAGTAAGAAGAGAAATGTTTGACATAACAAATGCAAACGTTGGTGAAACAAGAAGAAGAGACGACACACTGAAACAACAGAGAAGAGAGATGTTTAAGAGCGCTATAGAACAAGTTCGCAAAGCTAACGATGTCCTTCGTTCCATTGACGACAAACCAAAAGAAGGTGAGAGATGGTTAAAGAAAGATGAAGAGAATAGGAAGAGAAATGTGAAGTCAGGCAATAGACTCATTGACTTTAACATCGAAGCTTTAGATGAACCAAACAGAGACTACTTACACAAACATTTCGGTAAGGTTTTCATGAGACTCTTAGAGAAAATTAAAATAAACTCACAACAGAGATGGATGGTATGTTATAAACTTGGTGGAAAGTATGAATGTTCTACGTTAAACCTCAATAATATTGGAACATTACTACATCAGCTCTTGAAGGAGAACTTTATATCAGAGATAGAAGCAAATGCTGCAGGTATTGTTGAAATGCACTATGACTTCTTCTTGACAAACATAAAGAATCTTACCGAAATAAAGATGTATGATTTAACAGAATATGAAGGCTTAACGATGTCAGATGTAAAGAAAGGCAAACCAAAAAAGAGACCATATAGAGATGAAAGCACACTGACAAATGACCAGAAAGCCATTTTGGAAGCTCTTAAGCAAACAGGAAACCCAGCACTTATAGAAAGCTTTTGGAAAGATAATGGTGAAAAGAAGTTTTATAAGAAGAGAAGCGGTCAGTTCTGGAAGTATCTTTGCACATTACCTATAAATCTTGAGCGCTACCAAATCTTCAATGAACTGAACAAAAGAACTGCAACACTTATGACAGAAGACAATTGCTTCGTTTATGCTTGCATTCAGGCTGGAGTAAATGAAGAAACTATTGACCACATGAGAGAAGCCATTCGTGTTGGAGACTTTCCTCAAAGTAAAGTACAAGAAATTTCTGACGCAACAGGTATAGCATTTAATGTTACCATTGGTTATTTCAATGACTCAAGACATAATGAAATAAAGAGATACATACCAAAAGAATGTGAAACTATTCGAACTATTGACTTACTTCTTGTTGAAGACCACTACATGCTAAATGAAAGATTACCAATGACAACATATTTTTCATAAATTATAAAGAAATTCTCAAAGCTTGTGGTGGAATGAACATTGAGAAACAGATGAAGATTTATACAAAGAGAGAAGATAAATATGTAGTTCGTTATGATAGAACAACACCGTTATGGGATGTTATGAAAACATTGTGGGAGTGCAAATATTTCGAACCTATTTCTTATGGAGAACTTTTCACATATATGACTGACTTATATAAACAGAACCTTGCACCATTTAAAGACTTGTCATATGCTCCAAAGTATTGTGTACAACTGAAGAAGAAAGCCGAGTCAAAAGAAGTAAATAAAAATAAGTGCAAGTTCATTCCTGAGCACGTTTTCTTTGCTGACTTTGAGTGCAGTACGATGGCTTTCATAAAGCTTTTAACATATGTTACGACAGTGAAGATGGTTCAGTGAGTGAAAGCATTTGGGGTCAGAACTGTGCAACAGAATTTTTGGACGACTTCCTGACAAGAGTTTAATATATTTCCATAACCTCAGTTATGACATAAACTTCATCTTAAGACACATGACAGAAGTGAAAGGAACTCCCATCATTAAAGGTTCACGAACAATGCAAATAACTGGCTTATATAAAGGAAGGGCAATTATTATAAAAGACTCTTACAGTGTTATAAATAAGAAGCTTAAACTATTTCCTGCTATGTTTAACTTACAAACAGGACCGAAAGAAGTATTTCCATATAACTACTACAGCAGTTTTGTTAGCAAATGACAACAGAACTGGTGTCATTTCTGAAGCATGTAAGTTTTTAAGATATGAATACATTCATGAAAAACATAGATTCCATCAAAGGTTGCAGAATAGATGAGAACCACTTCGACTTAGAAAAGTATAGCACATTTTATTGCAAACAAGATGTAAGAATTTTAAGAGAAGGTTTTGTTAAGTTCCGCAATGACATATTGAAAGAATTTGATTTAAACGTTTATGACTACGTTAGTATTTGTTCTATTGCTAACAAATTGTTTGAGAACAGAGTGTACTTCCCGAATGGAAATTTATATGACCTCTCAAATAAACCAAGAGAATTTATTTCAGATGCATTCAAGGTGGAAGATGTATGCTGTCAGATAACATGAAACAAAAGAGAAAAGAAACTCATTGCTGATTTCGACGCTGTTTCATTATATCCATCAGCTATAGCAAGACTTTATACTTTAGAAGGTATTCCAAAGTATTGAAGAAAGAAATGTTAAGCACAGAGTATCTCATGAGACATTTATTCGATGACGACCAAAAGGAACCCATTGGTGAAAAGTTTATGTCTGGCTTCTTTGTTCTCATTAAGATAACAGAGATTGGAATACATAGACACTTTCCTTTAATAGTTTGTGACCCTGAACTAAATCCAGAACTTAACGTTCCCAGAAGTTCAAACACTTGCTGTTTAATGTATGTTGACCATATAACATTACAAGACCTCATAAAATATCAAGGTGTCAAATGTGAAGTGTTGCAAGGATACTATTACGATGGAAACAGAGATATTAGAATAAGAGATGAAGTAAAGAAGTTGTTTGAGTTAAGGTTAAAGTATAAGAAAGAAGGAAATCCTTTGCAAGAAAATATAAAGCTCATTCTGAACAGTATTTATGGCAAAACTATTCTATCTCCTATTGAGTCAAAAATAACCATAGTAAATGACAAAGATGCTATAAGATATGCCATCAGAAACTACAACCATATAGTGAAGTTCGAAGGTTTGGATGGTTCAGATAAAACTATTTTCAAGCTAACGAAAAGCATTTGCAGACACTTTAACTTCTGTCCACTTGGTGTTAACATTCTGTCTATGTCGAAGACAATAATGTGTGAAGTATTCTGTACTGCTGAAGATATGGGTCTTCATATATTTTACCAGGACTGCGATAGCATGCATATTTTCAATGAAGACATACCAAAGCTTGCAGCAGAGTTTAAGAAGAGATACGGTCGCGAACTTATAGGAAAGAACCTTGGTCAATTTCATTCTGACTTCGCAGAAATAACACCTGGAAAACAAAGTTTAGCATACAAGTCAATATTTTGTGGAAAGAAGACTTACATAGACTTACTCACGAATGATTTAAATGAAGTTGCATTTCATGCACGTTGTAAAGGTGTAAAACAAGACGTTCTTGCTTTAACAGCTAATGAAATGTTTCCTGAAGCTATACAATGCTATTACAATGAAGATAAGAACATTCACATACCTGTTGGAACATATGACAAAGACTCTGAGTTCAGTTTAATGAAACTTTACAAAGCACTTCATGATGGTCAAGAGATTGGATTTGACTTATGTAAGTCTTCTAGTCCTTGCTTTGCTGAAAAGTTTAACTTCTCAATAACGACTAAAACAAGCTTTATTCGTAAGTTGAAGTTCTGAGGTCATTTATTTTTGTCAGCAATGAGGTCATTCGTGATAAAAATAAGCCGCTAGCGGCAAGGGCGAAGCCCATGTGGTCATTTACAATACTGCGATGGTAGGGTTTAAGAGTTGTGCTTCAATGTAGAGACAGTCCTTATGGTCTGGAGGTAAGAACACTGGGCAGTTATGGTCATGAGTAGAGAACATGTCTATCCAAAACTCACGATTGAAGCCAGTTAATTTATAGTATTTAGGATTTGGCAGTGGTGTAGTTCTTGTATGACCAATGAACTCATTTTCAACTCCCTTACTTAAGTTTGAATATAATATAGCTTGCTTTCTATCCCAAATGCCAGGTGTTACAATCTTTGAAAATTCATTTTTCCTCGGAAGCATTGCATCATAATTGAAAACATTTTTGAAATCATCACTTGGTTCAGAGATTTGAAATCTTATACGTAATGGATTTTCTTTCTCTTTAGCGACTTCATTGAATGGTGAGAATACAACAAACTGACAGTCATGTGTTCCATCTTCATTTTCATTAAATTCATAATGAAAGTCTATAAGTTGTGGCTGACTACCTTCTTCTTTCAGTTGTGCAAGAAACTCACGTAAAGGCTGTAAAGTTTGTACTTCAATGTTAAACTTTTTCTCGAACATTTCATTAAATGAAATCATACATTGTTGCAATGTTGTATCGTCTTTAAAGTATTTGTATATGTGAATGTTTTGGGCGCTTAAAGACTGTTCGTCATTTTCTATCTCGACTTGAAGTATAAAGTCAACCTTTCTGAAAGCACGTGTTATATACATAGATGTTATGCCAATGTACTTCTCTTCATTTATGTTCACAATCCAGTCTGTTGGAAACTTAAACGTTACTCTGTTCCCCTTTATTTTGACGTCAGGGTTTTCACTACTGAACGCAACAGATAAAGGTATTTGTCTATACATTTAATTCGGATAAAAATAAACCATTTACTCTTTCTTTGCTTCAGCTTCTTTAGCTTTTGCTTCAGCTTCTTCTCTAGCTTTCTTCGCCAGCAAACGTGGGTTCTTTTGTCTTCCAGCAGCTAATGCAGCAAGTTGTTTTTCACTAAGTTTTCTCTTTGGTCTCTCTGGCTTTTGTTCTTGTTTTTGTTCATTCAGTTCGGATAAAATTTGCTCACGAATTTCTTTCTTCAATGCTTCAACATCTATGACCCCTTGGGTCTTGTCCGTAGGGCTTGTCTGAGTCATTTGACTGCAGATAAAAAACAAAATTAAAACTTTAACCGATGTAAAATGAGCTTGTCAAAATCAGAGCGAGAGTCTATTATATTAAATGACGCAAGATGAATACAACATCCTTTCTATTACGTAAGTCAGAGTAAAGATGGTAAAATATATGTAAGAAAAAGAAAGGTTCCATTAGCGAATGCAGAAAGCGACAACATTAAGGTGTATGGTAAGGGTGAAGTCCACGAAGCCCATATAAAACCTTCTGTTCAAACTGAGCCACCAAAAGAACAAGAAGAAAAGAAGCCAGATGTACTTTCAATAACGAACCAAGAGCTTATTGCAAAGTTCGTGAATTTCATTGAAAAACAAACCGAGTCAAAGAACCCTGACCCACCAGTGAAAGAAGTTGAGACAAAAGAGAATGTACAGTTCATTGAAAATGTCAAGAAACAACTTCCACCACGAATGCCAAGAAGAAGAGTGAGAATAATGAAGTAAATAGATATTTTTATCTGAAGTAAATACATGCAGAACGAACAGCTAAACGAATTTACTCCAGCAGAGCATATTCATCAGATTCGCTCATATTTCGATATCATAGACAATGCAGTTCAAATTGGTGACACTAATAGAAAATATTCTGACGCAAAGATTCCATCACAACCTGGAACTGCTAAAGATAACACATGGGTAACATTCAATCTCTCACCTCCTGGTGAAAATATGTTGGACCTTTACAATACATTCATTACGTATAAAATGGAAGGTCAATTTATTGTAGATAAAGAAATTGGTTCAGGTTCCAATAAAACAAACCCACCAGGATTTTGGATTGGTTTCGATGACGCTTTCTATGCAGTTGCTGGATATCAAATCCTTGCAAATGGTCGTATCGTATATTCTCAAGACAACGCAAGAGAAGAAGCATATATAACTTCAAACTCACAAACTACCGAACAAATAAAGAAAGTAGATGTCTTCTCAAAGACTCGACATGAAGATGTATGGAGTCATTCGGGAACATGCAGAACAGGACAAATTGTTAGTGGTCCAATTACAGCAGGAAAATCATTTGATTTTAAGCTTCGTTTAAGAATTCCTGTTAGAAGATTCCTTCCATTAGAAGCTATTCGATTTATTCCAGCTTTTGCAGGAAACATTCAGCTTAAAGTAAAGTTCAGTAGTGACGCCTTACAATGCACATCTATATCTGTAAATGATATCATTGCTTTCAATCCAACTCTTAAAGTTGCATTTGCTTCAGATTCAAATCCACCGACAAATAAATTTGTTCCATGGAATGAACCATTCACTATGATAACGAAGGCAGTAGAAGCTAGTGGAACAGTTACTATTACAACTGTAACCCAGCAACTATTTCGAACAAAGATGGATTTTAATGAATGTTTCATTCATCCAAAGTCATTCTCTTTAGACCCTAACATTTATACAGAACTTGTAGAACATTATACAAACGAGGCTTTATGTTTTCCTGTTAAAGTTATGGATTGGATTCCTATGGACGGTTCATTCTCAAAGAATACAGATAGTTCAAGTGCAACATTTACAGCAGCTTATACGCCTATTAATGTTAAAAGTTAGAGATGTGAAAACTTAAATTTTATAATCCCTGGGATGCACTTTCTTCGATTTTTTTTAAATTTTTGGGATAAATTTTGACATCTTTTTTTTTTGCTGGCGACCCCCCGTTTAGGGCATCAAAAAAACATGTTGTTTCGTTTCAAGATCGGGATATGTTGTGAACCCGACTTCTTTCATTAATGAAGTGATTTCTTAAGTTGAATAAAAACAAATTTGATTGAAATTCATACAAAATTTCTTTTTATCATTATTATTTAAGATGCTTTTTTATGTTGAATTGTTAATTTTTTTATTTCCACCTGGGATATTTTGAATTGGGCTAGCCCAATCCCACCTCTCAATTTTCTCTCAATTGGGCAATGGGGATCCCATATAAAATGTATTGTAACAAAATTTTACATGCATAATATAGTACAATTAAACAACATTCTAAAAATATTAAATTCACATCATTTACTTGAAGATTTTATATTTTCAACAAAAATTAATACAATAATTACATTAAATTGAGGAGATTTATAATATTTATTATAAATTAAAATATTATTACTCATTAATTTGTTGAAATATTGCATTTTAGTGGTAAAAATTAAAATTTAAGTTTACATGGAGAAAAAAAATTTTTAAATTCCAAAAAAAATTCAATTGGGATAACGATAGGGACAAAAATTTAGAATCCCCATATGCTTGGGATAAAATCACATGACTAGTTAAAAGTATTTGGGCACTATTTAGAAAGAAAGACAACTATTATGTTAATTTTGAGAACCCTAAGTTTAAATATCTTCAGCTTTCCATGGGAGCTTATGGAAATATGCCTGCAGAACCTGAAAAATCATATGGACCTGTATTTTATGAAATGGTTGCGAACGCCTGCAATACAAACAATGATATGATAGGATTTAATGAAGATGTTATGAGGTCATTGGTGGATGATGGTAGTGTGGAACATAAATGGGATAGCTATGACAACACACATTTCTTATGTGGTTTTCCAACAGAAGTGGACTTTTGCTTCCAGCAAGGTCAAACATCTACTGATCCAATAACATACAAATTGTCTGTTAAAGGACCTATTGAACTAGCAACTGAAAATGTACCAAAGCCACTTATTGGATTTATGAGGGATTGTTGCTTTGCCATTCAGGTGCGTGCTAATGGAATCCCAATAATAAGATTAGATGACTATAACTTAGCTACGGACGACGGTGAGGAATAAAGGATGAACGTTTATTTTTAAAGCTTATAAATGAGTTCTTCATCAAGCTCTCGTGAACCTTCACCATCTATGAAACAAACTTTACCAAACGATTATGGAGCACCTATTGAATATTTCTTACGAGCTGCACAATGGCAAAGAGCAGTCTCACCAAGGTTAGGTGTTCCACCAGCTCCTGTCAAAAATAGCATTTGGTCAAGTCCTTATATAAGATATGGTCTCCCACTAGGTTTGCTAGCTACAGCAGGAGCAGTTATGATGTTGAAAAGAAATAAAGCAAATGTTGTAAATAATACTGAAGTAGCTGAAGTTAAACAAACTCCAACACCTTCACAAGCAAAACCTTCAATGACTCCTGAACCTATGGAAGTACAAACTCCTGTTCAAAAGTCAACTCCTAAACCGACTCCAACATTTAAACCAGAACCTACTCCTCAAATAAATCGTAAAACTCCTGCGTTTCCTTACTGAAAAAATAACGTTATTTTTATTTAATATTAAAATTTTTATTTGATTGAAATGACAAATAAAGTCACTGAAGCAATGAAACAAAAGTTTTTGGTAGAATACATTAAATCAGGAACTATTCCAGAAGGTTTTTACATTCATACTATGAAGGATGGTAGAGTTCAGTTTAGAAAGATAAAGCAACCATTAGATAGAGAAGGAATTTTGAGAAAGATTAAACTTCATGAGGACAACATTGCTGAACTTAAGAAGAAGTTAGAAGAGTTGGAGAAAGGAAGAGAGTTATAAAGCAATGAATTCAACAGGGTGAAAAACCGGGTGAAAAAAGAGGTGAGATTTCACCACTTCACCTAAATTTATTTTTGTGCTATGTTTTCATACGTGTGAGGGTGGTGATATCATTAATTTTTATATAAATGACGAAAACTATTGAGATAACAAACTACAACGGTCATGAGTTCAAGAATTTGTTCTTCGTTCCTCGTGAAAATACATTCTATCAGATACGAGGGAGAAAGGGTAAAGTTAGTTTGAGCGTTTATGAAGGAATGAAGAATGGAAAGTTTATACAAGCATACGATACAAACGGTAAACGTGTTTCATTAGCTTTGTCAAAACTTAGTAACATTTATTTTGACAGTGACTTTGACTCTGACGATTGGAGCGACAGCAGCGATACTGAAGAATATGAACTATTGTGTGAAGCACAGCAATGGGAAGAGTTGCAATACTTTTGTAAGTGAGAACGTTTATTTTTTTACATTAGTGAGGTGAAGTGGTTGGCGGCTTTGTAAATATTTAAGGTTAAGTTAGTGTTGTCGTTTGTGTTGTAAAATATACGTTAACGGTTTCGTAAAGTGTCAAATTCACATATAATGGGTAAGTAGGTGCGCAGTGCCTCCGTACACTTGAAAGGTGTATTAATTAATGTATAATGCTCACTGATAAAATTAAATCGTTAATAGTTAACTCATCAGCAAACTTAAATACGCTTCAATTGGGTTTAGATGACCTACTTGATAAAGTTGTCAAGGCAGCAAAGGTTCAAAAACGAATGACCCAGTATTTTTCGAAATTAAGTATCCCAATGGAAATCAAGCTTAGTATTCTCACGCAAATTACAGAATTTGGATGCAATACCCCTCAATTCATTGTTGAGAATGCCAAGTCTTTTCAAGATAAAATTATTACAGATTTCCACCTTCAAAGAGTAGGGGTAATTTTAGCTAAAAGTGACACACCCGTGAAGGGTGTGATTACCGATCGGTAATTTCGACAGTTTAGAATTTAAAATTTTTTATGGAACTGTTGCGAGTTTCATGTAATGCATGAAAAATAGCGTGACTTCATTTTTGACAGTTTACAAATGTAAAGTGTTGCATCCTTAAAAACTTGGAAATATATACATTCATGAATTATCTTGTATATTAATTGAAAATCCATAAAACCCTAACAATATTTTTTCTTAAAAAAAAACTATAAAAATATAAATAAAATTAATCGTTAAATAAAAATATTTGATATTAGAATTTTATTGGAAAAATAAAAAACTTAATATTTTAAAGAAATACTTAAATACTTGAATGTTTTAACTTTTACATTATCATATAGACTCTCAAATTATTGATTGGAAACGGTTTGAGGGTTATCAATTTAAAAAAATTGTGAGTTTTTTAGATTTTTGGCAATGAGTTTTAAAAATTTGTGAGTGAGAATGTGTGTTGATGCTTGGCACTTTGAAGGGAAGATGTTCTGGGTTCACAATTATTAATGGGATAAATAAAATGATTATAAATATAATATATTAGAAAATAATTTGCAAAATAAAAAAAAAAAAAAAGGTAGTGGGGCTTCCAGGCGCGTTGCGCCCTCTAGCCCCGAAGATGTTTAAAAAAGTTGGAATTGAGGTAAAATTAGATGTTTAGTTTCATGGAACTTGACTGTCCATTGCATCTGCCATTTGTTGGTCGTCTTCTGATGGTGTTCTTGAATGATATTCTTCTTCGGGTACAAATTCGTCATCATCAGGTGCGTCTTGTGGTTCATCTTCTTGAGTAGAGTCTTCTTCTTCAACATCAAAGTCATCTGGTGTATCGAACTGAATGTATGAAAGCCAAATGTTGTATGTGTTTTCCAATTGGCTTTCAAACTTGAGATACATTCCATGCATGAGTGTTATTTCAGTTTCAACGTAGAGTTGCTGAGTGGCTTGAAGACATGCATGAGAATTGGTCCTCCAAATTCGTCCTTGAAAAACTTGCAGTAGCAAACATAAACTGAGATAGAGTCTCCTTCTTCAATGTCTTCTGCTTGGTTAACGAAATGAATAGCAATTTTGCGTACTTGAATTGTGTTGTTGTCTGAGTAAAATAATGGTTTGAACTTGGGGTTGAGTGAGCTAAGACATTGCCATTTTGCTGTTTCTTGTCCGTACTCACGTTCTTCTTCGTCATCCTGATATCCGTAACTCTTTAATTTGAATTCGACCCAAAACTGTTCGACTTTTTTTGCAGCTTTGGGTGGAAGACTTTCAATAAGCTGACATATAGTTCTGTCAACCATTATCTTTGTTATTGTTGGAAAATAGTTGACAATTGTGTCACCTAATTCGAATGGGTCAGGTGTTTCTTTTTGTAGTTTGGTAAAGTCTGCAAGAACTTTGTTGAGTTGTTCACAATATTCTTTGTTAAAAGTTGCAGGAACTCTTTCTTCTGGCTTTGAATTGAAGTATTCTTCAGACAATCTGAGTAGTATTTTGCGTAGTTCAGCGTTGCTGTGGTTCTTTGTAATACGGAGCTCGTTTGGTATTGTTTTTGGTAGTGAAAGTGGCTTTGGATTGAGCGAATTGCAGGACAAATTTGAATTTGAATTGTCTGTTCTTGGAGAATGTGTAGATGCTGCAGTTTGATATTGAGGCTCTAAACCTGTGGGTGCTGAAAGTTGCAAGCAATTTCTTCAGGTGAATTTGGAGCGAACACGCTAGCGAATGCCATTAGACAAAAATAAACTGTTTTTTTCGGACTACTCATAGAAAAGTTTAAAATAAACCGTTTTCGTCAACGGTAACCCCCTCTATTTTTTTATTTTATTTAATAGTTACCGTTGGCAAACCGTTCCATCTCAAATATTGAATGAACTATAAACGTTTTTTGTTTTCTATATATACTTTTTTGTCCAACGGTAAAACTTTTTACACAACGGTTTTTGAGAGTCGTCGCCGTTGACTTTTTTGTAGAGCACTCAAAATAGTATAACTTTGTCCGGACAAGTAAGGGTCTATCGTCGCTACAGGAAAAGTTACAGGCGTTCCAAGGAAGTATACTTTGAGAAGCCTTTTCCCCTTATAGAATGAGATAGGACGGTTATTTTACAAAACTGACAACACTTTGACCGAGTAGTTTTTTGTGCTGAACAAAAAGTGTCATATAAACATCTGTCAAAAACCGCTTTTTAACTTCACTTAAAATGCCACGTAAGCTACGTAAGAATATACGTAAGAGGAAGAGAGCATTGAAACATCCAATAGTAAAACTGACACCACAACAACAGTTGCAACAACAAATGATGAATGACCCCACTATGTTGCAACAAATGTCAAGCAACCCTATGCTTTTAAACCGAGTTATTGGTGCACAGAGTGGAGGTTTAAGAGCGGCACTTTTAGCGAAAATGGCAGGCTATGGTGGAGCTGCAGACGGAACAGCTTATAACCCTCAAAGTCAAATGAATTTGAGTTCACTCAAAAATCAAATAACAGATGTCAAAAAGTCAAACATAGACATACAGAAACAAATAAGTGAAAACGAAAAGAAACTAGAATATGACAGACACACAAAGAAACTCAATGAGTTAAACGTAGAGAAAAAGAAGAAAGAAGAACAACTGAAAGAACTAAGTACAGAGGAATATGCGAAAAAAGTGTCAGAAAAAGCAGCAGAAGTAGCAAAAATGGAACAAGATGTTATAAATTTGAAAAACCATACTACTCAATATAAAGTACTGAAAGATGAAGAAATAAAAAAAAGCCCTGAAGACATATATGGATAGCGATGAGTATAAAAAAGAAGTTGAAGCAAATGTAAAGGCAGAAAAACTTTTACAGTTGCAAAACCAAACCGTACAGTATGAAAACTTAGCACAAGAAAGTAAAAATAACGACGCAGCCATGCAAAAGGCAATGAAAAGCGCAGAATATATAAAAGCTAATAATGACTGGTTAGATGCCCAAGCCAACGCTAAAGCAGCCCAACTTATAGGGTCAATAAGGACAAAAATACAAGCGGATGAAGACAGTTCAAATGAAGCTTTAATGAATGCTGACTTTAAGAACGCCTTCGAAGCTCTTCATAGTAAGGTGAAACTAGTGAACGACTTCTCATCTGGAAAGAAACTGAAGTCTGAAGGTTTCGACAAAGAGTTAAGAGAAGTAGCACAAAATATGACGAAAATAACAGATGCAGCAACGAGACAGGCAGTTCAAAGTGCCTATGACGCCGTTAGAGCAACTGTTGTGGAAAGTCAAGAAAAAGAGT